TGAGGAGTGGAGGCTTCTGGTAGGACAGTTGGGTGTGGTGCAGCAGGGACACTGGCAGGATAGTCCGGACTCTGTTTTGGACATGCTAAGGTAGAGATGGTTATACAGATCTGAAGCTCAGGAGGCAGGTCTGGGCCATGGATCTGGGTTTGTGGGTCATTTGAAAGCAGATTGTGATAAAAGTCAGTGTCAAATCCCAACATTTTAAGCGTGATTGGGAGTGACCAGAGAGGCAAGGAGGGAAACCAGGAGGGTTTATCACAGAAGACGGGGAGGTCCAGGAAGTCTATGAGAATGGGAGGTCAGCCCTCCTCCCCACCAGGAGAGACTTGAAGATACAAAGATGCTGGTCAGGAAAGGGTAGTGGAGAGAGGCCACAGATAACTGGTTCTTTGGAAGGTAGGAGAGGTTGGGATCAGAGCAGGGCCATAGGAGTAGCCCTTGGAAGTTAGCTGGAATAGTTCTTTGTTGATGACTGATCTGTGTGACCAAAGTTCATGGCTATCTGGGGGTAAGTGAAGAAGGGTCAGGGTTATGACTGAGGAAACAGGATTGTTAGGCATCACAGTGGGCCCAGTTAAATGCATTAGTTGGCCCCACACTGCAAAGCAAGCAGAGTGAGGGATGGAGGAGGGCAGTTGGATGAATCTGTAGTTGGGGTTTTGAAGGTGTGTCAAGAAGTTGATGTTGATAGGGAATTGCAGCTGGTTTGAGCAGGAAGACAGAACAAGATGGGGCTGAGGCGGTATTCAGGGGCCAAGTGCCTGGGGAAGAAGTTAACAGAGGTCCAAGGACAGAATGACTAGAAAGGTAGTAGAGGTTGTGGTCAGGGCAGGATGAATTTATTACTTCAGAGAGCACTGCAAGTAGATGGCAGAAGTTGACTGGAGAAGTCAAGGAGGTGAAGGGGGCTAGTGCTTCATCCACATGGTGGGTGATGTTGCCTGGGAAGATGGCACGGGACAGGTCAAGGAGCCTGAGCTAGATGCCAGTGTTTTCAGTGATTGAAGGGGAATAGAGGGCAGGTGCCCATGCAGAGAATACTGTGGCAAATGGCAAACGCCGCAAAGGAAGAGGGTGCAGAATCAGCGGTGTGGAAAAGCAGCAGCAGAGACCAAGGCAACTGACCTCACCTCCCTACTCTTGAGTTCCTGGGTGTGGGTGAGGGAGCCGCAGAGAGCCTAAGGGCAAGAAGTGCCTTTGAGGCACTTCAGTTAAGGATGATTTCAGAGAAAATAGCCATTGGGGGGGGGGCGGGCAGGGAAGGAAGTAAGGAAAGTCATAAAACATTGCTAAGAGGTGTGCTAGGACATGATCCTATCTTTGAAGATACGGACTCTTACCATGCTATTGAAGTCCGGAACTGCATTAACATAGTCCTCATTTAACTCGTTATTTTTAAAGATTTTATTTATTTGTCAGAGAGAGAGAGAGAGAGCGAGCACAAGCAGGGGGAGCGGCAGGCAGAGGGAGAAGCAGGCTCCCCACTGAGCAAGGAGCCGGATGTTGGGACTCGAACCGCCAGGACCCTGGGATCATGACCTGAGCCGAAGGCAGCCGCTTAACTGACTGAGCCACCCAGGCGCCCCCAAGTTTTGTTTTAAATGAAGTTTATTTTGGCGTTGTTAAAAATGAGATTCAGAAATAGCTGACAGACCTAGACTGTTGGTTAAATTAGTCAGATCTGAGTACCTTTAATTCCTGTTTCTTCAAAGTCTTAAGTAAAATTTTTTTTGACACAGATGATGTCTACCGTAGAAAAGCCTCAGAACGACAGTATCAGAGAAGGCTGGAAAATGCATCAGAGACTGAACTTCAGCCGTCAATAAAGTGAATATGAAATTTCACTACTGGTTTCAACTCCTCTGAAAATGTACTTTTCAGATCTCTTGTTCTTATTTCAGAACTGCCTTTACAAAGAAATTTTTATAGTTTTCCTGTCTGCTTCAATACTTCCCAAGTCACTGTTGGACAGCACTTATGGAAAAACTATTTCCTCCTGAAACACCTGTCCACTGAATCTATTCTATGAAATATTTCTTAAACAATTCAAGGATCAAGCAGGATGCTTTTTTAGTACAGTCTGAATTGTTTGTGAAGTCTTTTGTTTCAGGCAACAAACTGATAACCTTAATTTCCTTTTCTCAGAATTCAGATTTAATCATGGACGTAAAAGTAAGATCTCTTACAAGATTATTTAAACCAGGATAATTATGCAGATTACATTTCTGCCAGCTACCAGTCTGTTACCATTTTGCGAGGGTGGTGGGAATTCCTGACCACACGTTACCCCGGTCAGGTGCTCTTGTGAACAGAAATAACCCCTTCCTTTGCCTGTCCCTAACATACAAGGGCTGGACCTCCACGAGAACTCCAGAGGGGACAGGCTTCACACCCCTCTGTGAGGAAGATGTGTTTTCATCCAGCTGCTAAAGATAAAGACACTGCTGCTTCCCTAAGAAAATGAACCTTCACACTGAAAAGCAAAACCATAAAACCACCACAGACTTCAGCTAAGTTAGAGGTTCAGAGAGATTTTGTAATTTGACCCACAGTAAGTTTGGGTCAGCTGATAGAAAAAACAAAGGCTTTATCCATTTTTTTCTTCTTTTAATCCATGCTTGGTAACTACATCCAACATCTATTTAATCAAGAACATATCTCTGTATTAAAGAAGGCTAGTTTCAAAACGCTTTCTAACACTTGCTCATGAATATACAGAAGCAGATGCTTAAGGCCACAGGGTATTCTCAAGTTAAAAGATCTCTGCCACAAACATATGTTCCAAGTTTTTCTAGGATTTTTTTCTAATTTAAGTTAGTTCACTGATGTTAGAACCAATTCAGTATAAACAGCGAGCCACTGACTACTCTCCTTTAAGCACTACCTGCACCAGCTGAGAGTCACACTGCTCAGAGATGGCTTGAGTGTGAAGACCAGGGATGACCCACAGCACCAGGGAGAGGAAGGAGGTTCTCCTGTGCACCTGTGTGCCTAGAGAGTTCCTGATGAACCTAACCTCATAGGCATTTTAGTGGTTAGACTGCAGCATAAGGAATTAAATTGTTGTAGGATTCTCCCAGTTATATGGCCTTATTCCATGTTTCCCCCACCCCAGTTTTAGTTGATATCTATATTGCTATATAGGGAGACTATGTAACTTACACACCTTTTTCAAAGTTAAGTTGTAAATACTAATAAAACCGTCAGCTAACTTCTGTGTCTGCTGTGGGTCCCCCCTGGCCCACCTCCCTGTCTGCACCCCAGAGAGAATCACCCGCTACAAATTCATGTTTAACCTTCCTTAGAGTTTTCTTCTTTTTTTTTTTTTAAGTATGTATCAGAGCGCTCATTTACTGAAGGACAACAAAACTTTGAAGATAAGAAATGTCTCACTTCAAGGCAAGGAGACTGGCAAAGCAATTACTGCATTAAATTGAAGATACTTTCAGAGCACATTAGTTTGGATGCTAGAGAGTAAAAACTAACCTTTGTTAACTGAGGTGAAAGCTTTTTAACTTTGCCTCAAAACAAATTTTAACCCTCCTAGTAGAGAATATGACTCTACCTGACTTACTAAACACAGGAACTACTAAGGGGACTTTAATAATGTAAAGAGCAATGCTCTTACATGCTGATTACAGAACTGCAGTGCCTCCTAGTGTAAACTACAAGGCAAAACATTTAATAACATGTATTTTAAAAACCGTACTTCTAGAATGACAAAAATTGAATTAGCATTTATTGCTTGAAATTTACTTCCACTATGGTGATGGGTAAAATGTGGGCTTTGGAGGTTCACTTTATCAAATGAACTGATAGGGAAAGTTACTTAGGTACACAGTAAATTCTCAATAAATAAGGGCTACTATCTTGATCCGTGTAACAGTCCTATTCTGGAAGTCTTTTTATTTTTTAATTTTTTTTGGCAGCAAAGCATGGTTTATTGAGTGACAGCAAAGTGACAGTACAAAGCTCCTGGGGAGGGAGGGGACCCAAGAGGGTTGTCCTCTATTCTGGAAGTCTTGCCTAAATCTCAGCTGTTATAACTTAAACACATTGATCTCCCTCTCCCTTTTTAAGTCTGAATTTTTCACACCAAGTTACCCCACATTTGGGCCATGGTGTTTTTCAAAGCAATTCTCTCCTAGAAAAGCAGTACAGTATCAGTTCGTACTCTTTACACATGTGCATTAAATTTGGAATTTCTTGTCACATTTATGTGCAACCCACAAGATATCAATGCCACATCTATTCTGGGGGTAGAAGAAGTCTATTAATTTGTTCAGTTCTGAACTTTCACTCAGCTGATCTAGCACACTTCCACACTAAAAAGGAACAGAGTAACACTCAGCAGTATTTGTTTGCTCACAGTGTTCAGTGGGAATGTTTAACTATTCATCAATGATTATTCCAAATACGCTCGTGAGCACAGATGGCAGTACAGCCCTAAACCCTTAGGGGTACAGAGCCACAGGGATTTGCAAAGTGATATTAGAGGAAAACAGTTGGTTGATTTTACCAACACTTCTATTAAAAGTGTGGTCATGTCTTTAGGAGCTTATAAGCATGTTAAAGACATACCTGGGTCACTGGTCTCCTCTGGCCACAGACAGCTGTTTGAAAGGGCTTACACAGCTTTATGATACAAGACATGCTTTCCTTACCTTCCACCATCAGTAACTCTACAATTTTAATTTCAACCGTATTTCCACCCACGATGAGGACATGTTAGGAATTCCCTGAATGCCTGCCTGAGAGGCTCCTCGTGGGGCATGTCCAGCTGCAGTGTGACTGCATTCAGCCGGTACTAATGTAGCCTGAGCCCTGAACCAGGGTCTGCTCACTGACTTTTGCCTCCACCCGAGGAGCTTTGTTCCCTTAAACTGGCAGCTATATATCCCTGTCAGCATAGAATCAAGGCTTGCAGGAATTAACTCTGCTTGAACCTAACATCTGACACGAGCTTAAACAGAACAACCAAACCTGGTTAATCCAAATCACTTTGCAAACTCCATTTTTATTTGGATTAAAAAGTTTTAAATGAACAAACATATGATACATACATGTTATAAGACTAGTTACCACTTAAACCTCCTTTGATACAGAAATTAGAATAAACCAAGTTTTAATTAGGTCTGAAAAGGTTCAAGCTCAGAAGCCAACAACACCAGTTTGAGATTTCACACAAAGAAGTGTCCCCTCTTTCAGTTCTTCCTCATAGGAAGACAAAGGTGGGTTCAAAAACAAAGCAGTTCAAAGGCCTTTTAAATCAGTTGGCTGACATACTATTTTAAACCTATAGGTTTTCCCCCAAATAAAGTTCTTTTCCACATGAACTTACATTTTGAAAACATTTAGGCCATTAAACTTTCTAAGCCGTATCACTAGTTCCTAAAACTCATGGGGAAAAAAAAAAGACATATAGTTCACTTGTACTTTCTTAAGTCAGGACATTAGAAAAAATTTTTTTTGGCTTATCTTTTTTGGAAAATGGCTGACCTCAAATCTTATATCCTAAATATTAACTGACATTCTCCAAGTTAATATACAGAAAGACATGATTCTAAAATAAATACATAGATTTTTTTTTTTTTTTTTAAACTTAATTAGGGCCTGCCTACTGGCCCCCTGGCCCGGCTCTGCACTGCCTTAGGGAAGCCCCTGGCTGGATCTATGGTTTCTACAGCACCTCTAGACACTGGGAAGGAGCCCGGAGGAGGAGTGCCCTGGGTTCTAATGCCCCACCTAGCCCACAGTGAAGAGTTTTTAGAAGCTTCCCAAAGAAGTCTCATCCAGACCTTAAAAAGGGAAATAAAATGGGTGCATGAAATAAATAAATAACTTAACCAAAATTAGATTTCAGGTTCTTTGGTGTAATTCAAGAATGTCTAGAAATAAAATAATCTGATTGTATTATACAGTCCATGATGATTCAATGGCCCAAATAACTAGGAACTGAAGATTTCTTTATCTGATTCAGTTTAACAATAAGGTACTGACATACTACTGCAATACATTTTTTAAAATTCAGAATCATTTAAAATACTTGATGCAAACTGAGATCCAGTGGTTGACTATAGGCAATTAAGTTACAAGGGCCTCCTGTATTTAAAGTATCTAGAATACAAGAGACTTGTTTCCATTTTACACACTTTTGTCCCCATGATTTAGAAAGAATGGCAATTAAATATCCAGGTATTGATTCATACCAGATTAAAAGAAAAAAGTATCCCGTGAGAGTCACTCTCTCAATTTAACAACAGCAAGGGAAGCTCCACCAAAATGGCAACAATCTTGTTACAAAAAAACGGGTTTCAAAAACCGAGTGGAATCCAGGTGTGGTGCTTTTCTACCTGTCTGCGCATCATACGCTGCCTCCAGATGTTCATTCGAGGCTCATATGAAAGAGAAAGGGTCAACCCCAAGTGTTTGGAATCCATAATGGTCTTTTTAAGTGAGTATTTTCTTAGATTATAATTACTTTCTCCTGAAATTCAAAAGCACAAATTAAATTTAAAAAACATTTTAGAAAGCCTCAAATTTCTGGTTGAGAATTACAACGCTGAAACTTAGAGAAGGAAAAAAATGCCACATCTGGTGAGGAAATAGATACGAAAACATACTTGCATATGTAGACAATCTACCCTTTTTTACAATTATGCTTCTGACACAGCTCATATCTGGCTATGCACTCCCTTCCCTATGTTAGGTTAGGTGTTAGGTTTAAAAAATAAATCACCTCCATGCACACACCTCAATGCTTTCTTCAAGGTGAACTTCAATCTTTTTCCATGTAAGAGATTTAAAATTTTAAATCATCCAACAAGTATAGGCATAAATTGTGAATTCAATATAAATAGATCAAAAGTACCCTTAAACTTACCTGCCAAGACTAAAGGTAATTCAGGGTTGTGCACATGTTCTGCAAAAATACCTGACACCATAGATGACTAACAGCACAAGAAACTGTGCTCTCCCTGTCCAGGTGTCTGAGAGACGCACCAGCTTCAGAAGGATGCACAGCACTGACTTCAGATTTCTGGAGCAAGTCTCTTGAGTTAACAGAGCAAATGTGCCAGGTCTGCCAAACACCTGTAACCTGAAATAACAACCTTTCACTTCACCTGTACAAAACAGCTTTTGCTGAAGTGGCTCAAGATACTCAGGTACATGAAGCAGACACCAGTGCACTCCCCTCTGTAAGATGTAAACTAGGACCAACTTCACATTTAATTGTCAACTTAAACTAATCTGTAAACTCTCGTGCGCACACGCGTGTGTATATTTTTTTCATTTTGTTTGTTCTTTTATAAAAAAACAAAACCAAAAACCAAAAACCAAAATCCCAAGCCAAGACAAAACCTTTGATGGTTTCAGTTCCATGGCAACAAGTAAAAAGATAAAACTCCAAGTCTACATATACAACCAATTATGAAACTGGTTTTAAACGAAGGAAACATATGCAAAAAAATCTCTGTGTATTTGATAAAGTCAACTTAATATAACAAAAACAAATTGAAATAGCTTATTAAAAGTGTCCTTATATAAAAATGGCCTTGTGATGTACAGTAAAATGCAATAAAAATTACCATCCTTTGTTCCTCCCCCCGCCCCCAGTAACTAAAATGGCTACTGTTCCACAAAACTCTTTATGCTTCTATAAAAGAAACGTAATTGATGTGATTAAAGGTTTTCTAGATTGTATGCTTGGCGAATGTTGAGGGTGTCTCGGAGCATCAAATCCCGAAGGCGCCAGAGGGCATCTGCCATGGTGGTGTGGGCCCCTTTACTTTTCAGCCAGTGAGAGGGGAGGCGACTCTCCTGTTCCTTTGACAAATGGACATCGCGTCTTCGAGCTGAAAATTAAAATGCACACACGAGAAATAAAAGTAGGAATTTTAAGGTAACAATTTCCCCCTCAGACCTAAGGTCTGACTAGCATATAACATTTATTATTTATTAAGTATTATGAATTTTAACTCTGCAGAGTATTTCCAAGCAAATGTCTTTTATTTTATTAGGCATCTTTGTTTTTAAAAAACTATGCACTTAGGTATGAGGCTACCTAGCTAAGGATGTCTTGTTTCATGCTTTGTATTTTAGAAACTTTTTTTTTTTTTTAAGATTTTATTTATTTGACAGAGACACAGTGAGAGAGGGAACACAAGCAGGGGGAGTGGGAGAGGGAGAAGCAGGCTTCCTGCTGAGCAGGGAGCCTGATGTGGGGCTCGATCTCAGGACCCTGGGATCATGACCTGAGTCGAAGGCAGATGTTTAATGACTGAGCCACCCAGGCGCCCCAGAAATTTTCTAATTTATAATAATGACTTAACAAAAGAGCTGCACAATATAACATAATTCTCTATGAATGGGAACATAAGAGTTGCACAAACACCTAAAGATCTGATCACTAATACTGTGTTGCAGGCAGTCCTGATGATTAATAATTTCTTCAGGGGCGCCTGGGTGGTGCAGTCGGTTTAATCACCCAACTCTTGGTTTCGACTCAAGTCATGGTCGCAGGATCACGGAATCCAGCCCCACACTGGGCTCCAAGCTCAGTGTGGAGTCTGCTTAAGACTCTCGCTCTCCCCTCTGCCCCTCCCCACTGCTCTCTCTCAAATAAATAAATAAATCTTTAAAGAAAATTACTAATTTCTTCAGTGTTAACAAAGGTTGCTAAAAAGGAAAATGTGAGGAAAGGGAAAACATACCTATTATTCTGAAAGAAATCAAATGATCAAATTTGGTTTAGAAATGAAGAATGAGAGGCACCTGGATGGCTCAGTTGGTTAAGCATCCAACACTTGATTTTTAGCTCAGGTCATGATCTCATGGGTGATGATCTCAGGGTTGTGAGATCGAGCCCCACATGGGGCCCTGCACTCAGCTTAGAGTCTGCTTGAGATTTTCTCCCTCTCCCTCTGCCCCTCCCCCTGCTCCTGCACTCTGGCACTCTTTAAATAAATAAATAATAAAATCTAAAAGAAAAAAAAAAAAAGAAGAAGAAATGAAGAATGATGAGTAGGAACTTGTACCTTTCTTTCCAGAAAGCAGCCAAGTTATTTTATTTTAATTTAATTTAATTTAATTTTATAGGGAGGAGGGGCAGAGGGAGAAAGAATCTTTTTTTTTTTTTTTTTTAAAGATTTTATTTATTTATTTGACACACAGAGAGAGCGAGAGAGAGAGCGAGAGAGAGAGCGAGAGCGAGAGAGAGCGAGCACAAGCAGGGGGAGCGGCAGGCAGAGGGAGAAGCAGGCTTCCTGCATGAGCAGGGAGCCCGATGTGGGGCTCGATCCCAGGACCCTGGGATCATGGCCTGAGCTGAAGGCAGCGGTTTAACCAACTGAGCCACCCAGGTGCCCCGAGGGAGAAAGAATCTTAAAGTGCTAGGTGCATCACCCAGCGTGAAGCCTGACTCGGGGTTCGATCTCACGACCTGGAGATCATGACCTGAGCTGAAATTAAGAGTCAGACACTTAACCAACTGAGCCACCCAGAGCCCCCAGCCAAGTTATTTTAGTATGTACTGAAAACACATTAAGACCACTGAACTAAATAAGTAACTCAACAGGTTAACTGAAACAGGTTTTCCAATATTTTTTTCTTTTTTAAAAGTTGAACTGAAAGAATTTTTTTTTAAGATTTTATTTATTTGACAGAGAGAGAGAGAGAGAGAGAGAGAGAGAGCGAGCACAAGCAGGGGGCGCGGCAGGCAGAGGGAGAGGGAGAAGCAGACTCTCCGCTGAGCAGGGAGCCTGATGTGGGGCTCTATCCCAGGACCCTGGGATCATGACCTGAGCTGAAGGCAGACGCTTAACCGGCTAAGCCACCCAGGTGCCCCTGAACTGAAGGAATTTTTAATTTACCCAAATGCATCTATATTAATGTCGAAATGCCTAAAAAAGAACTGAAAAAAATTCAGAATATACTTAAAAGATAGCAGTGATGTTTACGACAAAACTTAGAAATTCAACAAAAACACCACCACTTTCAGTGTGTGATGTCAATATACAAAAAAGCTTCAAACCCTTCTATTAAATACAGAATTTATTTTACCTCTCTGAGAAAAGTGGGTATCTATCCCACAATATAATGCCAATAGCAGTGAGATTTCACAAAGGCTTGTTGAGAAGGACTCCTTACCTGCCAGGGTTTGGTCCCACTTGCTAATGCTGTTGGACTCAGCACTGAGTCCTTCAATGTATTTCAGGTAGGCCTCTGAGTGGAGAAGCCGTTGTGTCTTCGGTGGGGGAGCCACAAACATGGGCGTTGTTGGCTGCTGTATGACAGGGGGGCCGGCTGGATGTGGGCCAGGATACGGAGGTGGTGCCTGCTGCCCTGGAGGCCCCAAAACTCCTACCTGAAAGAGCACAGAGCACATGGTGAGGGGAAAAAAAAACACTTGGCACGTGCTCTGAGAAAGAGCGTAACTTGAATTCTGTCGAGTCCTAGAAAATCCAACTGAGAGGCTTACCTGCTGTCCGTACGGACTTCCGCCTTGTGCTGGAGTCCCCACCATAGGGGCCACTCCTTGATTCATCACACCTATAATTCAGAATGCAATGGCACAGTTAGAGGCTCTGGGTTGAGAGGACTACTGAAAAACTACTGATAAGAAATGATGCCATTTATAATGCAAACCTATGGATCTCTGTCCTTGAGTTTTTGTGGATAGGAACCCTATGCACCCAAAATGGGATGCAGCATTCACATGGAAAACTCACATTCTGTTGTTTTCTAGTATTTTAAGTATAATGCCAGTATAATCTGTCAGATGTGCATTAATTATTCATAGCTTAGAAATGCTCTGAACCCTGCATAAAATTCTAGTATTCCCCTAGGTCAGCTATAGTCGGACTACGTCTCTATTTTCAAAGTATTTTTCTTCTGACAACACATTTTCCTGCCACTGAAGCCCAGGTCTCATTCTGGCAGTAATGGTACTGCAGTCGGGCTCAGCAGCAGGCAGTGAACGAGGACACCAGGGACACAAGGGAAGAGGCTGTGCAAGGGCACAGTTCAATGAGGCCCGTGGAGCCTGGAGGCACATCCCTGCTGCCCTCTCACAGGCCCCCAGCACCTCTGCTTCTAACGGGAGTCACTAATGCTGGCAGGCAGGGCACGTCCATCTGGTAGAGCGATACTGTGAAAAGGATCAACTGGAAGCAGGTCAACCTCGCTGCTATCACTTCAGGTGCAAAAATGACAAAGACATTTCATGGTCCTACTGTATCTGTACTCTGTACCTGCTAATAATTTTGTAAACTTCCCTTGACGATTCCTCACAAGCAATTTCTGTCCCATAGGTACTAGCTGATAATGGTGAGATGTCCTAAATTTAGTGTCTGGGGCTGTTGCAATCTCAGGACCGTCCATTCACTGAACAGATGCTGAAATAAACAAGGGTCCCAGTTGGTTAAAAACTACCAAGCTATAGTCAAAACCCTGGTGAGCTGCTGTTTAAACTTTACACAAGTCCTGCTGGCTGCCACGAAGGCTCAAAAGGAGCTCACCTCATATACTAGTTTCTCTGGATTCAAAATGTTGCTATTTTGGCCAGGCAGAACCAGTCCACTATTCTAAGATCCAGAATTGCTAAAGGCCACTTCTGGGAAGTATTAGATATTTGTTAGAGAGGAAGTAATGAGTAAAAATAAGCTTTCTGTTTACAAAGCAGGGATTTTTGTTAAGTACCCAGAAGTTTACTTGGATCACCATAGCAGGATCCTCACGATTACTCGTGACTGGTTTAAGAGGTTGTGGTGGGTAAGCTGCTGCTCCAGCAACATATTAACAACCCCTGTGAACCCCCCCTCTCCAGGACACTCACCCTCCTCAGACCCCACAACACAGGGGGCCTCCCTGAACTGCCTTTCTCAAATTTTGCAGGGCACAAACAACTCAGCAATTCCCTCTGCTTCCTGTCTACAAGTACCATGCAAGGGGGCAGCCAGTGAGAATGTGGGCTGGTCACCAGAGGAGATCCCCGAGTCCTCCTCTCCTCAAAGCCTGAGCAGATGTGTGTGTGCGTGCGTGTGCATGTTTGTGCTTGTGTGAGCGCCCGTCCCTGCTTCCTGTTTACAGATGCCATGCAAGGGGGAAGTCAGTGACAATGTGGACTGAGTCACCAGAGTTCCCTGAGTCCTCGCCTCAAAGCCTAAACCGACGGATGCCTGTTTGTGTGTGTGTGTGTGCACACCCACATGCGTACACGTGTGGGCACTAAGAGGGGTTCCTCGTTGTCTCCCTAAAATCAAGTGTGTGTGTGTGTGTGTGTGTGTGTGTGTGTGTGTGTGTGTGTGTGTCCGTCCTTCAATTGCAATTTAGAACCCGAAGATGGGGAAAGGGACACGGTATGCCCGATACCCACCAAAAGGTATCTGCTACTTAAAGGGTACTGGCCTTAGACGTGGCTCCCAGTGAGTACCACATACACCTAAAAGTCAACTCCAACCTGGTCTGAGTCAGTCAGATACCCTATGCCAGGGTGAGAGGGCAGAGAATGAAGGCCAATTCTACCTGCCACACGGGCACACCCATTTTATGACTGACTGGCACTGCAACTCACACACAGTCCATTGTTTCCATAATGAAGCACCCACTCCCATAAACATTTCCTCCTCTGGGTACATCTGGATCAAACGTGTGCATGGAGTTCTGGCCATTCTCTAAGCAATACTCACAGGAGTGTGGCTGGAGGCTCTAGACCAAGCCCCAGGCTCACTTACCCTGCACACTGCTGGACTGGGTGTACCTCTGAGGGACCACTGGGGGAACTCCATATAACCCACTACTGGTGTAAGCAAATCTAACATCTCTACATTTTGTCATCTGGGCCAGGCCCTTAGCTGATATTCTGGATAATGACCAAATGCTATTCTAAGTTATCTTCAGGTCACATTCCCTCCAACCAGATTATAGCTAAAGCCCAGTTCTTTTGCATATGATGGCAATTAATACGGGAGCCTGTGATTTTCCTTTCACAATATTTCAACTACTAATTATAAAGTAAACCTCTAGCGCTTCCTGAACTTCATTTATGTGTTTCCACATAAAATAAATTCTGAGCTTCTGTTGAGAGAGAAATCAGTGTCCACAGTCAGTAGGGTGGGGCTATGCTGCTCTTTAAAATGTTATGTCATACTTCTTAGGGGACTCACATACAGAAAGTGTGTTCATTGCAAATTTGTTCCCTCCCTCCTTTTTGTTCCTAGAATGACTGACTGAAGGATTTCTTCATCATCATCAGTGACTCTGCAATCCCCTTAGAAGGGCTGTTTGAGAAGCAGGAGATGAAGCAAGGATTCTATAAGAAGACAATCTTTCAATGAGAACTGAACCAGAGGAAGAAGTGCACTCAGGACCAAAGGTGCTTTTATATGTGACTCGGAACTAGCAATTTGGGAAACCTCATTCACTGATAAAGAGGGCATGGCCTTCTAGGCTGTATTTGGCTTTCTGAGCACATGTCAAATTGTCTGAGTGGTGTGCGAGTAGGCCTTCTACCCCGTGGTCTGCTGAGTCTGGTCTCTGCCATGTGTCCTGTGCTGCCACTAGGCAGTCAGGTGCCCAGGGACACGGGTGCTGAGCTGCCTGCTCAATACACAGGACAGGCCCTGCTGCTGACAGCCCTGGGATTCTCAGTGAGGACAGGCCTGCCCATAGTGGGCAGCAGGTACCTCCTGGAACAACTGGCTGAGGGAGGAAAAAAGAGAATATGAAGGTGAGATTAATGAGTGAACGAGGATGAAGTTCTTACCCGGTGGTGGGATGCCCGGGAGGCCGGGCACACCTGGCGGAAGATGGTGGGGTGGAGGCCCCCCAGGGTGAAGTGGCTGCATGCTGCCCATGCTAACAAGGCCATCAACTGGGCCCTGCAAAGGTGGAAGGCCTGGCGGATAGCCACCCATCATGCCTTGAAGGACACAACAAATTTCAGACATGCATCATTAACATGCAACATGAGCTAAGTAATAACAAATCCCCCCACATGCACTACCAATGAATAAAGCGCCCTTAGTACTGCATGATATAACGGCAATTAGTGTAATTATTTTGTTGCAATAATGAACAAAATAAAAAGTTACAAATATGCAATCCAACATCTGTGGATGAATTAGTACTTAGTATATTATTATTTGTAGTTATTTTCCCTGGGATAAATACGCTGCATGTTTTCAGTTAAATAATAATAAAGAGGAGTTCCAGTAACAGCCTTCCCAAGGTCATGATTATTGCAAGCTGTTCAAACAGAGTGACCAGTTCTGCGACTGCGGTTCTAATTGATCAGTAGAAACCCCATCACTCCACTCTGCCCACACTCATATGCCTATCATGGGTACACATGAGGGGAAATTGGAATGGAGGGAAATGAGGCGCACAGCCCTGATCACAAAGCATGGTTCTCCAGCTGGGGGTGGGGCAAGGGGGGTTTGAGAGTTTTTCAAGGCTTCCTCCTCCCTTCTAGCCCCACCACTACTGGTATAAATGGATCATGCTCGGGCTTGAGCTGGGGAACAGAGAAGAGCCATCACAATGGATGATGTTTCATCTTTAGATCTCAGAAAACATGTAAAATAAAGATAAAACCTAAACCCTCCCAAGCCAAACTAAGCCCAGGTCACTTGGTAGTGGGCACGCAGACCTCAGAAGGAATGGCTGGAGAATCAGGCTCTGCTGGCATGAGAAAATGCAATTGTCACTTCTGTCTCCGAGTTCACAAAAGCCCTCACATAGACCTTCGGTTAATAGGGAACATTTTAAATGAGGTACAGAATTTCTGTGAACAGAGGCTTTTATTCCTTTATTTTCAAAGTGCATATTCACAACACAAAATATTTTCTGCTGGCTAGGGAAGAGTTTCAAGAAACAAGTACTTTTGGCAAAAGGAGTGAAAGGAAGAAAATAATTTCAAAATGTCAAAAACTCACCTATAAAAGACCTTTAAAGCCACACGACATTTTTTTTAAGGAAGAAAAACAACTTGACTCTTCTGGGATTTGAAATTATCACAATAAACAGAACCTAAGACTCCCCCCAAAAATGCAATCATCTTTGGTCACAGCTTCTTGCACAAAGGGAGGCTTGAGGGACTGGTGCCAAAGCTCATTTTTATAAAATACTCTTTGTAGAGGGACCCTGGGAAACAGTGGAAACTCCAGATTCTAAGGATTTTACTCTTTGACTTTCCCTCAAGGATTATTTGAAAGGTACTTGTTTATAAAGATTGTTTAGTCTTTTGAAGCTATAAAATTACTGAAAATTGTGAGATTGATTCAGCCTGCTTCGTTAGTCATATCTAAGCTGACTGAAAAACTTACAATTACACAAACCAGTAAAGCGAATTTTAAATAATACCTCTATACATGAAACAGGATTGAGTTTCATTTTTCAAAAATGAGAGTTCAGAGAGTAAAAACTACTTTTGTACAGACACTGTCATCTTAAACATAGGAGATCCAAAGCTACCAAACTGCCTTTTAACCACACCATCAGATACAGCTTTAGGGATAAGTAGGTGGGAGTTTAAGAAAGTTAGGAGGCTTTGCTTTCAATTACAAAAGCCCATCTGAACGCAGCCTTCATGGGCTGTGGTTGAAGAAATTATTAAGAACTGAAAGACATGACACTTGTCTTCATTAAACTGTACTTTGGCACTTATTATCCCAGTCACATGTGTTCAAATGAGCTTTAATGCTTGTAAGCAAAGCTGGTCTCAGACAGCAACAAGGCTAAGACTTAGGCCCTAAGCAATCTGTAAACCCATGAAAAATCACCCTCTCAGCTGCAAAGTTCCCACTGTGGACCAAAGACTGGTGCCTGTAGAGAACACTTGCTTGCCCTTCACTCCCATGGCCCTTCGGAATCTGGGCAGCATATGCTTAATAATGGAGCAGGGTCTTTCTAGAAGGGGTCCCACCTCCTCACCCATGAGAGCGCTGTGATGTTATTCCCCAACAGGGAGCTAAAATGCTGCAGCTGCTGTGTTTTAATGTTTTTAGCTGTTTGAATTCATTTTGTTAATGTGTCCCCGGGCTTTTTAGTCTAGGGCACAGTGCTACAATATCACATATCAAACAGAACAAAACAGGACATCAACGAGGGAATTCTAACTTTCAAAGTCCCCATGTTCAAGGCCTGATTTCTAAAACCCTCTGGAACCCCGTTAACCAAAATGGGCCATGGAATAGAGCAGGCGATTATGAGATTTGTTAGATCAACGTCAGTTACACTGAAAGTACTGAAAAGCCATGATTCAGATGTGCTCTGGCGAGTGCAAGTGCTGAGCTCAGCGACAGTGCATCTGAGAACCTGCCATCACAAAAGGAAGGAGCGACAATGGAGAAGTTACCCTATGCTACTCTTCCTTCAAAAGCAAATACAAAAACAGCATCCCAATGAGCCTGCCTTGAACAACACTGTCTTGGACTCCCTGCGAAAAGAGGTCAGACCACTTGCTTAAGAAGACACTCGGGTGGTTTGTATGGACCTCCCCAGGCCTAGGGGGATCACGAGGGAGGGACCCGAGAAGTGGTCTTCGGGCTCCTCACTGGAGACAGGTCAGACGAGGATATTCAATCCAAGAATAGCCAAATTTGCTATGGCCACCAGAACCAGAGACAACACACACAAGCAAACCACATTCATCATTTTCTTGTCTTTTTTTAAAAATATGTGACTGGGATACTAACAGAAAATGCAGTTTAATGTAATTAAATAGAAAAGCATTACAGAGTGGGCACAATGAATTGAATAAGGACTTTGTATTCCACTTAGCAGTCATGCACACTAGTGACCAAGAAAGGATTTACAATTCATTGTCAAAAATCCTTTTAAATGGTCAGTCTTTTAAGGATGGCTGCAGCAGAACAAGGCAAACTGAATACTGGAATGAGACGGGAGAATCGACATCACCTGAACGCTAGTTTTGTGTTTTCTCTCGGGAGTCCCTCCAGAACAGAATTCAGGGTCTGTTTATGTGTTCTGCTATAGCGCTCTACATCAAGAGCAGTCTGGGGTGGAGAATATCGCCAGACCATGTCCACAGCCAGGCTAGAGCTGCTCCCTACCAATTCCCAGGGTTGGGCCCAGGGCCCATTTCTGGGGCAGAGGGGAGGCATTGCCCATATGGGAGAGGCGATATAAGGACGACATGGACGACTTCAAACTTTGACTCTGCCATGAGAAAAGCCTAGAGACTGTGGCCTACTCCTCATTGGAGAAAAAAAAAAATGAAGGAATTTCTTAAAGTGGAAAAAAATGGTCTTAGCTCCTGTTTTTACCTGCAACAGGTGTCAACTGCTGATTGAGCATCCCCATTGGTGTTGGTGGTGGCACCACCCCCATGAGAGCCCCCACAGGGGTGCCTGCTCGGGGAGAAGCACTCGGCTGCTGTTGCTGTGCTGCGCGCTCTCTCTCCTGCTGCTCAGCAACTTTAGCTGCCCGCTCTGTAAAGGCATTTCAGATTTTCAATTCTGTTTTTAACCCAGGAATTCAAAATACCATCCATTGCATTCAACAGGACTAGTAAAAACACAGGCAACAGTTCTGTCTCAACGGAAGGAACGGTAGATGACTAGTCTCAACACAGGAGGAGTCGGGCCGATTTCACTCGGTAACCTAGAGTCCAGCTTTCCTATCCCATCTTGAGAACTGGTCTGCAAAGATTTCAAGAATGTTAAGACTGCAACACACATTCAGAAAGCACAGGTTTTATTTAAACACGTCACCAGCGTAACCAACGTGGTTAATCTCACAAGGCACCCTGAAGATGAGAAGCGCTACCATTATTCTAGTATTAATAGCATTACAAATTATTTATAATTTCAACATGAAGCGATTCCATGGCCCATTATAATTTTTGGCACAATTGTTACTTACACTACTTTCCTGATTTCTTGCACCCAATTTTACTATGATTTGAGGACTCCTGTCATAAGTGTCATGGGGTTTAGCAGCTGAAGAAAATTAACTCTGTAAGGGAAAAGTAGCTTACTGCTTCCTCCACAAGGATTTAGGGAAAATAAACACTACTTCCTATACCCTAATGAAGCCAAGAGGTCATGTTTAATAAACCCCAATGGAAAAAAAATGTATGATACTCTAGGCTACAGTCATTCAAAGCAGGGAATATGTATACACATATGAAGCAATGGATATGTACTGAGAGAACCAGGTTTCCTGAAGCTGAGCAGTTCAATACTGACCATAAATCATCCTAAATCAGCAAAAGTTCCAAGGATTCGCTCTTATTTCATCCAAAATGCAAGAGGAGCATTTGCTTGTGCCAGTTCTGGGCTGTGGAACACGCCTTGCTACAGCCCTTACTCCGCTGAGCTGCCCTGTCTTGCACCTCCATAGCCAGTAGTCCCCAACGATCACATTCCCAGTCTTTTTGGGAGCTAGCAGCCTGGACCCTTACTAGAAAACTCTAGAAATGTGTATTCCCCAAACACCCACAATACAGGGCTTATTTTGCTTCACCATTCATAAATAGGAAAGCCTCCTCAACTCCTCACAGGGGCAAAATGAGGCTGGGAGACAGGTAGTGACTTGTCCAAGGCTACAGAGAGAACCAGCAACATGTGGCCCTGACTCATGACAGCACATTCCACTGCCACACATTAACCCTCCAACATGGAATTCAAAAGACTACTGTTGGCTGATCTAAGGAGTGGAAAATAGCTCAAGATCCCATGGCTTTATAGAGAATCAAGAAGCAACAGCTCCAGTCCTCCGTTAGTGTGTAAGAATGTGAAAGTCAAGCAAGTCAAAGCTTCCTAGGCTGCGACAGAGTTGCCTAGATAGGCTAGTCATCACTCACTAACACTGTCCCAGTTTACAGATCCTCTGTACAATGAGTGTGAGGGACAAAGGCCATTTGAACAACCCATTTCCTTTTGCTAGCAGTAAAAAAAAAAACATTGAATGACCTAGACCCCCACATTAAATTCTAGTATTTTCATTACACAAATGACAGTAAAATGGGAGAGCAAAAAAAAAAAAAAAGTTGAAAAAAGAAAAATTCAGATCTGTGCATCAGATATTGGACTGGCTATGTGTTGGCTCTTTCTGGGAAGAGCCCAACGGGCTGTGCTGGAATAGAGAATTGTTAAATGAAGCCAGCCAAATTCCAAACTTTGGGTTTTGAATTCAAACCCAAATTGGGTTTTGGTCAAAACAACAAAAGGCAGACACTGCTGAGTCATACACAACTCATCTCACTCAATTTTCCCTGAATTTCACACTTTCCTTGGAATTTGGGAGACTTCCCTAGAAGCCATCATTTCTCCCTCTCTTCAGCCCTGCTTCAGGGTTTTTACTTTTATACTACATCCAGATACATTTGTCTTTCTTGTTCAAGTCTAAAAAACCAGCCATAGTCTGGGCTTTATTTGCTCTAGACTGGGCTTTACACCCACGTGAGCTTTATTTCCAATCCTCCTCCAATGGAGGGATATATTTGGTCTTAACTTTCATTAAGGTCAGAAATATCAAAGCTCTACAAATTTCGAGGTGTTTTTTTTTTTTCCCCAAAGTTTGAGGTTCTTATGGAACTGACTAGAGTTTCTTAAAGAGTGTTCTGCAAATTATTTGTTCTTTACGATATTAAAAGGTATTATATGAATACTTGGTCAAGTTCCAGAAAATGCCAGTTGAAAAAAAAACAGGTGTTTACTGTAGGTCTTAAAGACTTTAATATGGGAATATGCACTGTAAGTTTCCAAGAGTCAAAGTGTCTAGAGTACTTCTCAAACTGGTTTTGCCACACAGGTTTTTCTGGCTGAACATTTTGTAGGATTAGGATTCTGCAGAAAATCTTTGGGGAAGTCTATCAGTTAATTTTATAATTATCAATCAACTGGTATAAATGAAAGGAGTAAAATCTTTTTTTTAAAAATTTCTTTGGAAACACCATAAACTTCAATAAAGGAGGCAGCCTTAATAATGAATTTCTTTATGTTTACTGGAAAATAATGGATTTAGACCTGGCCAAAATGAGTAATGGTTGACCACAGTGGTGAACCACTGAGAGACAGTTCTAAACTGGCAAAATGAACCATTATATACAATTCCAAATGGAAAAATAGAGCTCCAAAGGCAAGAGTCCTGCCTAAGCTAATGTTCATTATTCATTTATTACAGGTATGCCTGACATTAAAAACAAAACAAAACAAAAAAACCCAAAATCTCTCTCAAGTACTTGTCCCTAAAGGCTAAGAACCACCAAATCTTTAAATGATAGCTCATGGCCCAAAACGATTTAATTATAGAGTAAAAGGAAAATGAAGGCAATTGAGCTTTATGAGAGACTTCAAGTGCCTTAAAAGTAGCTATGAATGCAGACATAGCACAGGCCAGGACTGGCCTAGGAAAAGAAGCGCTTTCAGCCAAGCCTCAGCCTGGAGCTTAAACATGTGGCTTATCAAGAGCCACAATCGATCCTGATTTTGAAAGCCCCCTTTCAGATGAATTTTAACCAAAATTCTAATTTAACATCCTTGTACAATCATTCCCCAGCTCAACACATGTGTGCTCACAGGACTCAATGAAAGAAGAAACCATGCAATTTTTAATAGCAAAATTTTGGAGAAATTTTTCGGGAAAAAGAAAAAACAAAACAAAACAACCCCACCAGGATCAAAGGCCAAGTCAGGGGCACTGCTTGCTCAGTCAGGACAAGGCTGGCATTTAAAGTGCTAGATGGGAGCATCTGAGACAGTCCCCAACACAAAGTTCATGTGCAAGTGGTAAGAACAAGAGAGTAAAACCTGTCTACGCACGTGCATTCCTGAAAACACCCCCTTGCTTAGAAAGCTGAGACAGTTGCGCCTAGTCTCTATTTACCTTCATATTCTGCTTTCTTGGCTGTTTCAAGGTTTCTCCATTCTGTCCCCACCAGTCGGCTGAGCTCCCCAAAAGAGTAGTCTGGATGCTGGGCCTTAATCACAGCTCTCATCTCACTGCTGAACAGGATGTAGCCACTCATGTTGATTTTCCGTTTGGAGCCTTCCTTCTTTGCACTGCCTTTGGCTGACTTTGGGGTAGACTGTAAGACAGAAAGCTCTTATAGCGCATCAGACATTGCATCTGGTTAACTCCTCAAGGTTTCTGGAAGCCAGGAACATGTGATTCAATAGTTACTGTTTTGCAGACACGTTTAATTTATAGCTGGCCATCTCCTTGGTCAAAAGAGTTCTTCCTTGCTGCTTACCATATAAGAAATAAATGAAAATTTCACTGAATTCCATGACTATAATCTGTAATGGTGACCTCACAATTATGTCTTGGGAAAATTCTGAATGAGAAAAAAATACCAACAGAGATCACCTCCACCGAGATGAGGGTTTACAGGAGGAGAGACGGGAAAGATATGGACCATAAAAGCTACAGTAACAGGGTGATGCCACTCCTCATTGCTCTCCTTTAACATAAGGCAGGGAGAGCTTTCTAACCAAACGTGCCATTAAAAAGTTATCTATGCACATTTTAAAAAGATATTAAATTTAAAATGCTTAGTGGCATCAAGAAAGAAGAAAAAATCTGCTTCTTTCTGCAGAATTCCAGGCTGAAGCTCACATATGTGGGGGCTGGATGTCTCCTTCCCTTCGCTTGAGTGGGCTATGAACCAAAGCTGAGAGTAAGACAAGTACCAGGAACTTGTCACTGTCACCTGTGGGGGTGTGTAGGGCATGAGATCCAGCTCACTGGCCAGCGGGGTCTGAAGTTGAGGTAGAGGAGGAGGCTCAATGACCTCACTATCCTCTTCTCCCATCTCTTCAATATCATCATCTCCACCTTCTAACTCAGCAAATTTTGCTTCTAGCAACTGGATCTTCTTTTCCAACAAAGGTGAGGGCTCTTTCTGAGGAACGATTGGTTTTCTGAAAGAAGTGAGTGAATGAATGAGTAAATAAGTAAATAAATAAATAAAATCACCAAACACCACTCCAGGATTGATCAGAAAGCAATGCTCTGCCTTAATATTTAGAAAAGACTTCCTGGCCCACCTGCGTGGCCCAGTAGGTTAAGCGTCCAACTCTTGGTTTTGGCTCAGGTTATGATCTTGGGGTCATGGGATTGAGCCCTGTGTTGGGCTTTGAGCTCAGTGCACCGTCTGCTTGTCCCTCTCCTGCTCCTCCCCTCATTCTCTCTCAAATAGGTAAATAAAAAAAAAAGACTTCCTGCAATCTGCAATGTATACTCTAAATCAGCAAAGGAAAGAACTTAAATGTTACACGTAACTTAAAAGTTACACGTACTTATGGATGTTTGTTTTTAAAGGGGGGTGCTGAATACCCACAAAAGTACTGGGTCCAAAGTTGGGATCTAGTTGCCCATATAATACAGTGAAAAGAATTTTTGTACTGTGGAAAACTAGGCAATCTTTTAATAGACAGGCTATAATCCAGAACTAAGGAATTTTGCCTCCATATTACAATTACTGGAGTCTACGTCAAGGGCAGTTACCACATCTCAGCAGATTATGAAGATTTTCCTTTAATTTTTAGCTGAATTAATATTTTCTCTTTGAAATGTATACTGCTCTAGTTTAAGACTTAATAAAAACAAAAAACCACCATGGTCTACACTTTTTTGATATCAGTTTTCCTTTTAAGAGCTGAAGTGCTCTTTCCTCCTCTGTTTTTCAAATTTTACCTGAAGTAATAAATCTCATCATCTACCACTTTAGCAGAGAGTGAAAACCTCTTCAGTCCCTTGAATTTCTTCATCTGTTTGTCACTCTCGTTGTAGCGGCTCTCACAAAGCAGAATGTCATTTTCTGGTATCTCAGTTGGTCTGCAGGAGAGGAAGTCCTTGAATGACAACACAGCGCACTTTCCTGAAAGACAAATTGGAGGGAAATTAAAGGAGTAAATTGTGGCCATAGCTAACAATTATTTTAAATTTTTATTATTTTTGAATGAATACATTCACATGATTCAAAAGTCAGATTTAAAAGGTATACACAAGCATAAGGATAAGGTGTGCAAATCAACAATTAAAAGTCTAGATAAGAATCCACAAAATTGGGTTTTTACAAGCAATGGATTTTTGACAAGGGTGTCAAGACAATTTGATGGGGGAAAAATAGTCTCTAACAGATAGTGCTGGGACAAGTGAATTTCCACATGCAAAAGAATGGAGTTGGAATCCTACTTCACACCGTATACAAAATGCAACTCAAAATGGATCAAAGACCCAAACGTAAGAGCTGTTAACTATAAAACCCTTAGAAGAAAACATAGGTGTAAATCTTTATGACCTTCTATTGAGCAATGGTTTCATAGATGTGACATCAAAATCACAAGCACTCAAATAAAATAAACTGGACTTCACCAAAATGAAAAACTTTTGTGCTCTAAAGCCCACTCTCAAGAAAGTGAATCGGCAACCCATAGAAGAAATATGTGTAAATCATATCTGTGGTAAAAGTCTGGTATCCAGAACATACAAAGAATTCCAATAGCTCAACAATAACCAGACAACCCAATTATAAAACAAGCAAAGGATCTGAATAGACATTTCGCCAAAGAAGACATACAAAGGGACAAGAAGCACATGAAAAAATGCTAAACATCATTAACTGTTAGGGAAATGCAAATTGAAACCATAATGAGATACCAGTTCACACCCATTAGGATGGCTATCGTATTAAAAAAATAAACCAGAAAATAACAAGTGTGGACAAGGATGTGGAGAAATTGGAACCTTTATACATTGCTGGTGGGAATGTAAAATACTGTAACTGCTATGGAAAACAGCTTGGCAGTTTCTCAAAAAGTTAAACAGGTTGCTATATAATCCAGCAATTCTACCTCTAGGTAAAATAACCAAAAGAACTGAAAATAGGAACTCAATTAGACACTTGTACACCAATGTTCATAGCAGCATTATTCACAACAGTCAAAAGGCAGAAACCACCCAAATGGCCATCAACAGATGACTGAACAAACAAAATGTTATATATACATATAATGGAATATTACTCAGCTTTAAAAGGGAGTAAAATTCTGATACATGCTACACCCTGGATGAACCTTGAGAAGATTATGCTAAAGTTAAATAAGCTAGACACAAAAGGACAAATATCACATGATTTCACTTATATGAGTTACCTACAATAGGCAAAATTCATAGAGACAGAAAGCAGGACAGATATTACCAGGGAAGAAATGGGTAGTTACTGCTTGTTGGGCACAGAGTTTCTATTTGGAAGATAAAAAATTCTAGAAATGAGTAGTGGTGATGGTTGCACAACAGTCAAGAGACTTAGCGTCACTGAATTGTACACTTACAAATGGTTAAAATGCTGCATTTTATATTATGTATTTAACCTAAAACATGGTAGCATATCATTTACACTGCTTTACACCTAAATTTTGTTGTAAAATAATGTATCTTGAGAGGATCACTGCTGGTATTAACATACTGTATTTACTGAAACTAGTTCCCTATTGATGGATATTTAGGTTGTTTCCAATTTTTTGCTCTCCCACTGAAACAAAACAATGCTGATATAAGCAATTTAAGACATCTATCAATTTGCATACGTGTGAGTCTATTTGAGGTATAAATTTCTAGAAGTATAAAAGCTGGGTCAAGGGAATGTACACTTTAATTTTTATTATAGGTATAAACAAATTATCTTCCACAGAGGTCGTGTTCATTCATGAATCCACCACAAAGTAGGTAAATGCCACTTCCCTATGTTCTCGTCAACCAGTAACATTGGAATCTTGACAATTTGGTAGGTAATTTAAAAAAAGAAAAAGAACATCTGGGTACTTTTAACTTGTATCTCTTTAATGGCTAAAGTCAGGCATATTTTCATTTAAGAACCACTAGTAACTTCTATCTGCTTACCCTTGGCCTATTTTTCTGTTTGATATCGATCTTTTCTAATTGCTTTATATAAGCTCTTCATATACGAAGGAAATGTGATCTATGATATACATTGCAAATATTTCCCCAAAGTTGTCATATATCTTTTTTGGTTATGCAAACATTTTCAACTTTTAAACAGTCCAATGTATCTTTTTCCGTATGAGTTCTAGGTTTTATGTCAAAATTTATCAAAACTTCTTTCCCATCATTTCTTTTGGTATCTTTGCGGTTTCATTTTATATTCATTTAAATCTGTAATTTATCTGGGAATTTATTCTGAAGTTGATGTGAGGGATGACTACAATTTTATTTTTTTCCAAATGTCTATGCTGTTTCCAAATACCTCTTAGAGAAAAATCCATCTTTTCCCACTTATCTGGGATGCTACCTTTATCATAAATTAGTTTATACTTGGGTCAACTGCTAAACTTCCTATTCTAGTCAAATAATCTGTTTACTGATATATCATATAAATAATTTTAATTATTTTAAAAAATAATTTAAAGTAGGCTCCATGCCCAATGTGGGGCTTGAACTCATGACCCTGAGATCAAGAGTCCCATACTCTACTGACTGAGCCGGCCAGGCACCCCAAATAATTTTAATTATTATGAAGTTACAATGTTTTAATATCTGGTAAGGACAGGCCCTCACCCCTCACTATGCTTTTCAGAATTTTCCTGATTTTTGTTTCTCTTTGACGTTATTTAAAAAATCAGTTTAAGTCCCAACTTCCTCACAAGAAAATTCCCATTGGTACATCTCGTAGGATCACATTAAAGATTAACTTAGGGAGAATGAAAACTCTATGATGTTGAGACTTATTATTCAAGTACACAGTATGTTTTTCAATTTGTTCAAGCATTCCTTTTTAAATGCATTAAGAGTGGGACACCTAGGTAGCTCAGTCCGTTAGGCGTTTGCCTTTGGCTTGTGTCACGATCCCAGGGTCCTGGAATCGAGTCCCACATTGGGGTCCTTGTTCGGCGGGGAGTCTGCTTTTCCCTCTCCCTCTGCCTGACCCTCCCCCTGCTTGTGCTCTTTCCCTCTGACAAATAAATAAAAATCTTAAAAAAAAAAACACAAATGCATTAGAACAGCATTTAATAGATGGGGCACATATCTTCTTAAATTTATCCCAAGGTATTTTATCTTTTTATTATTATTGAATTTTTTAAAGTGCTATTTATTTAAGTGATCTCTACACCCAACGGGGGTCAAACTCACGATCCCAAGATCAAGAGTCGGATATTCTACTGACTGAGCCAGCCAGGTGCTCCTATTAATGACTCTCTTATGGCAGTTGCTTTGTTATCCATGTTGTACTCAACCATCTTACTTCTCTTATTGTGTGAAGTAATTCCTAGTTGATCCTCCTGAATTATCACATTCTTAATTTCCTCAGTGTAGATTTTGTTTCTTATCTCTAACTATGCTGACTAGTACTTATTTCTAACTATGCTCACTAGTACTTCCACAACATGGTTAAATAAGAGTGATATGGACACCCCTTATTTTGCACTCCTTAACAGGAGTGTTCATAGCTGATAATTTATTAAACATTTACATGCAAAACACCTAAACCATGTAAAAACAGGTCAGAAACATTTCAGAAGCTTGAAAAAGCTGTAATTACTACCACTGCCTTAGATTTACACACAAGCACTTGACTTACACAATCCAAAGGCTTTTCAATTCAGAGAAGGCATAGTTACCATTTTCCATAATTCACAGAAGGAAAAAGAGAGATTTGGAAAGGGTAAGAATTACGCTCACAGCTAAAGAGTAAAACTGACTCAGTAGCCCTGGCCTGGTTGTGGCCTCTCTGGGTCCTGACCTGGGGCTCCTACCAGGCCCGCACAAGACATGGAAAAGGTAAAAGCTCAGGAAGCTTTTATTTAATAAAGCATACAAAATTAATAAGAACCTGCTGGACTCTGACTGGAACTATAATGAACTGATATATCAAATAGGGAGAAAAGTGACTCCTTCAAAAATACCGAGTCTTCCAGCTATAAACATAATGCATCACTTCATTTATTTAGGTCTTCTTTAATGCCTTTCAATCATTTTCTCATAGGGTTTTTTTTTTTTTCCCTAAGTAGGCGCCATGCCCAGTGTGGAGCCCAATGTGGGACTTGAACTCATGACTCTGAGATCAAGATCTGAGCTGAGATCAAGAGTTGGACACTTAACTGACTGAGCCATTCAGGCACCCCAACTCACACGGTTTTTTGTTGTGTATGTGTGTGTGTAGGAGTCTTACATTTTTTAAAAGATTTATTCCTAGGTATTTATTGTAAATGGCATGTTTTTAAAATTCAACTTTCTAATTGCTCTTTGATGATAAATAAACATATAATCTTGATATTTCCATTTATTAATTCTAATAGTTTATCCAAATACCTTTTGGATTTTATATGTACCTAATAATGTCTTTGAAAAACCTGATTTTATTTTTCCTTTCTAATCTTTAAAAGCCTTTTATTCTGGAGGGGCGGCTGGGGGGCTCACTCAGTTGAACAGCTGACTCTTGATCTTGGCTCAGGTCATGATCTTGGGGTCCTGGGATGGAGTCCTGTGTCGGGCTCCATGCTCAGTGGGGAGTCTGCTTGAGATTCTCTCTCTCCCTCTCCCCCTTCCCCTGCTCATGCTTGCTCTAAAATAAATAAATAAAATCTTAAAAAAAAAAATAAAAGCCTTTTATTCTGGAGGACCTGGGTGGCTCAGTCGGTTGAGCATTGGACTCTTGATTTCTGCTCGGGTCATGGTCTCGGGGTCATGGGCTCCTTGCTCAGCGGGGAGTCTGCTGGAGATTTTCTCTTTCCATCTTCTTCTGTCTCCTCCCCCTGCCCCATGCACTCTCTAATAAATAAATCTTTTTTTATACATTACGTCGTTAGTCTTTTTTTTTTTTTTTAAGATTTTTATTTATTTGACAGAGAGAGCACAAGC